TCCTAGTCCATTATGTGTTTCCAAGACTGCTAACCTCAGGTTTTCTTGCCGGGCTTGTTTATTCTTTGCAGCAGTGTGTGCTTGTCCTTGTCTTTTATAATACCTCATGTTTGTTCTTGTAAAATGCTGTAGCTTAATTAACACACGGACAAACAGTTTAACTTGACCTCTATAAGTATTCATTCTTTGCAGACTTTTTCCCCCCTCAGAGATTAGTGGTGTGACAATCAATCAAGAGCAGCAATCCTGGTCTCTCACTTCCACTAATGGAATATTGACAAATGATGACGTTTGAAATGAGTGATGGATACCCCAAAAGGTACTAAATCTATAGACCCACTTGTTAACTGTCTGGCACATTCAGTGTCAAACGCCTGAAGTTAAACATTTGTCACAAGGGGGAAAATATCCGATTGACAGTGTGATTATTGTGTGTTGAATCCGATTGGATTTTAGCAGCACAAATGCTGAATAAACTTTTCTAAGTCAGTGATGTTCTGTATTCCTGTGTGCATATATCATAGTGTGTTTTGTACCTTATAACTCCAAAACACTAAAACTACTGTGGGTAACTTTTATGAAAATAACATTCCTGAAACTGTCACTTTATTCTGAAAGAAGTAGTCTGAGAAAAAATCATGTCCCCTCTTTTCTGCCTACTGCTTCTAATGGGACACGGCAGAATCTACTGCAGTGCGCCAGTAACAACCACTTAGAGTCAAGGAGTCTCTAATACAGCTCAATGTTGTCAATCACTGCTTATGAACTGTGGTCAAACTGTCAAACTAGGCAGTGCTGATCAAATATGAATGAAGATTCTGTTACTGCACTGCCTGTTTCTCACCTCATATGTTTTCTGAAACATATTTTTTACTGTTTAGCTGCAAAATTGGGAAAATAGCCTCACATAGATCCATGCATCGCCCACTAGCTGGACCAAGTTTCTCATTTCACAGCCAAACAGTACACTAAAATATGTTTCTATAAATATTTGCGGTGAGAAATAAGCAATGCAATAACATAGACATGATTCATACTTGATCGTGCTGCCTATTTTGAGAGTTTGACCACAGTTTATGAGCCGTGATTAACATGATTGACAGCTGAGCGAGAGACTTCTCAGCTCTGATTGGTTGTTTTTGTGCATGATTTGGCTAATACTAGCTAGGATTTTGACCAAGATAAAACAATCCTCCCACATCACACCTATTTTTAATTTCCCTGCATTGGCTTTCAGTCTCGTATAGAATCCATTGTTAAGTTATTTTAATCACACACAAGGCTCACAATGATCGGGCCAGAGTATAACTGAGCTTCTCACACTGTACCGTCAAAACAGGCCCTTCAGGTCTGCTAGTCTGCGTCTTAGAACTACTTGCTCCTTGGCTTTGGAACAGCCTCCCACTGAGCATCAGATCAGCCGACTCTGTTCACGTCTTTAACACACTGGCCTTTCCTGACAGTTGATAGACCTATTGTGTGTATGGGAGTGTATATACAGCCATGTGTTTAAGTGTATATGTTGGTGTCGGCGTATGTATATGCTTAAGTTTTATTAGTATCAGTATTTTCACTTTGTGCTTTCAGCTCGAATACACCTTTTTTTTAAATTAACAAGCTCTATTTATTAACATTCAAATAAAAAAAAAAACCCAGTGTGAATCCCTTTACTTTCATTGTGAATTAGCAAATGGTTGGTGGGCCACCCAGCACCCTATCACAGGCCAGATTTGACTATTAGAGGCACAGGAGTGGCAACAGAGTAGGCAGAGGGATATGAGTTTCCTTCACAGGTTGTCTTCCTTATTTAAAGCTGTGTGAATGCAGGGATAGTTTGAGCAGATACGAAACTAACAACTTCTTCACTAACTCTGTCTGCTGTTTGGTGCTGAGCAACTAGAGTACAGTGAGTCTGAGAGTTTGTTTTTTTGCTGAAAACAGCTGCCTGCTGCTGGAGGAGTTAATGACAGCAGTGAGACTGAGCCATACAATACAGGCTGTGAGTGAAGCTTTAAAACCTACACATGCTGCTAAATGGCCTTCAGTATGACTGGCATACAGCATACAGCTGCTTAAATAACTGTTTTTCTGATCTCTTTTCATCACTGTGTACACTGCTGAAATAGTAATGCACATACTAAATAAAAACAGAGTGACAGAGCTGACTGTTACCAGACTGCAAAATGCCATTCTTGTTTAACAGAGCTCAGACCAGATTAGCCTGCTTAGCTATGGTGTCCTCTGGCATTCAGGTCCATCCAGCACTCCGTATCTCTTCCTCATTCTGTGTACTGTTCTACAATTCCAGCCTCCATTTCCTCCTCCTCCCCCTCCCTTTATAGTCAATGACTAGGGTTTTAATGATTACATCTGGCGGTGCCACAAATTAATTCCTGCCTCTCTGGCAAAAAGCTGTTCCCCACCTGATTATGCAAAGCAGGCCTACATTCTCTCCCTTTGAAGTGGAGGAAAAGCTGCTTAGAGATTCTCCCCTTGAGGAAACACTGCAATATGGGGAACATCAACAAACCGGAGTTCACACAAAGGTCAGCAACATGGTTAACCCCAATGAAGCCCCACTTCATCTCCACATCTCGCCACTTTTAAGTCGTGTTGATGCCGTGGCGGAGGTGTAATGATGCACTCGTATCAGAGACTGAAGCTACTTTTTCAAAGACACGCAGAAGTGGAGCAAAAGTAGGACAGCCAATAAAAATAGCCATATAAATGCACCCAATAATGCTTGTGTCTATGGCCACGCGGAGTAGTCGGATGAAACCGGTGCGAGGCTCTTGTAACTCTCCTATTTCAGCAATCACATCCTTGACAGTGTCTCATAGGTGCGCCCAGAAGCACCAGCCTTATATATTTGGGAGGAAGAAATAAGGGTTTTCACACATAACTGCCTGTGCAACGGCATACTTTGTCAGTCTGTTATGTTCAAAATGGTAAAAAAAAATATATGAATTCTTGTGTGTTATTGTCTACAGTTACTTTCAAAACACCTTTCGGCTTCTGGACTGAGCAATCATGGCCTGATGAAAAGCTACAACACCGCAATGAAATAGTCTACTTTTCACTCAAGCATGACACAAGAACAGTCCACCCAGGTAATGAGCCACTATAAGAGATGAAACTGCTGTCTCAATCACACTGAGGGGAGGTATGATGATGACAGATGGAAGATTACTGCTGGTGAGACTTGAAGCATGTGTTAATTCAGAGCGGGACAATGCATGGAGGGAATAGCAGGGATGAGGGAAGAGAAACTGTGTGTTAATAATATCATTACTGCTCTTTCTGGTTATTAAACTAATCGCTCAGACAGGAAACTTTTAGCCCCCTGTTGAGTGTGTCAAGTCTGAAGACATTTGCTTTAGTGCTACGGCACCATAAGATATTTAAAAACAAACATAGGCCAATAAAAATATCATCCATAAGTGTTCAGACAGAAACTTTTATAAGATCCAGGGATGACTCAAGTCAAGAGGCAATCAAAATTTAATGAACCTGATTCACTGACTTAAGGCTTGGAGGATGGAGGTTCTGAGTGTGAGCTTCTGCAGTGCTAAGTCTTGTAATGTCATCTCTCCTGCTCTAACTACCACTCAAAGAGTATTAACACACTAAAACTCACACAAACTCGAATAAAACACACATGCACACCCTTTGCCTTCATTTTTATATCCTCTTGATATGTTTGTTGCATGCACCAAGCACCGAGGCAAATTTCTTGCAAGTGAAAATCAACTCAGCAATAAACCTTTTTCTAATTCTGATTCCTGATAGAATAAACAGTGAATGAATTTTTAATATTGCAATCTTACATCGTAGAATATCGCAGTCTTATAGTATTATCAATTTTATTATATGATGAGGACACAGAGTTATTAATGTGAGGCACTTAAAGATCATGCTCAGTCGATATCACCTCGTTGCCCATTTGCAGTGTCAGTACTTTCCATAGTCGCCAAAAACAATAAATAATAATAATAAAGAATAAATAAAAAGGAGTTGGGTTGCAGAGGCTAAAAGAAAACAACTGAACTTGCAGTTACTGATTTTTCTTTGTGTCACTTTGGGGCAGTAAACGTATCATCTCTGCCTGCATGTGGAGACATTGACACGCTCACATCTACCTGTATTAACTGCTGCTACTGTTAATTTCCTCCTGTATAAGTAGCACAGGCTGGCACTAGAGGTGGGCGGAAATGAACTAATTAATTTTTTTTGTATTGCAAATGTACCGGGTCAGCCTGTCGAACTTTCAAGTGCTCATGAATCCATAAGGTGCTGTATCATAGTGCAGCAATGGCACTGAATGAACGAGCGAGGACCTATTGAATCAGACTCAAGTCGAGACCTTGGCCAAGGCCAACTGTGCATTCACATGCTCCTCAGATGGTTGTTCTTCCAACTTCAATGCGTTGATGAGCTTTATGTTGTAATATGGAAACAGCACGGACGTTACAAAGTGTAGATGTGTTGTGTTTTATTGTTCAGAGTGTTGAAACACGATGATAACGAAGAGCAGGAAGCAGATCAGGTGAGCCATGAAATAAAATTGGGAACTACTTTTTCAAGGACAGCATGGCGGTGTAGTTGTCAGGCCTGATGCTTCACAGCAAGAGGGTTCTGGTTTCGAATCCACCGGCCAGCCGCCCATGTCATTGGGGTTTTCTCAGGGTACTCCGGCTTCCTCCCACAGTCCAGAGACATGCAGGTTAGTTTACTCTGTGACTCTAAATTGCCCGTAGGTGTGAATATGAGTGTGAACGGTTGTCTCTATGTGTCAGCCTCTTGCACACTACCACCCTGCGAGGATAAGCGGTTACAGAAAATGAATAAATAACTACTTTTTCAGATTATTCCGACAACACATGAATCCAGCACAAGACCGCGGAGGTAAGTGAGACGTCTGCTACGTGCCTCCCAAAAGAACCGCAGATTGTGAGCTTGCATGGCCTACCTACGCACCAGTGGGACGCTGAATCAATGCATTAAAATGAATATTTGATCTTTATTAATACATGATGACTGATAATGAACTGAACAGAGATTTGTGGAGCAGGCAGCACCAACTGTCGAATGTCCATGTACTTTTATGGGGTGTCACTGAGGAACTGACACCATATTTTGCAAAAACTGGAAAGGTTAAAAAGGCTCGATACATTTAAATGTATCAACTCGGATCAGTCCGCCCATCAGTGGTTGGCACTGTGTAGAGTTTTCAGTGTGCTAAATGTGAATTAGTCTGTTTGCCAGTTTGTGTGATTGAGATACAAGCAACTTCCACTTGCATCTTCAAAAACCCACGAGTAACAAAAGTCAGACAAAAGAAACATGCATGTTTAGCCATTTGTTTCCACATATCTTTTCTGCACAGGAGGATCCACACACTATTTCCTTCTTCTAATCCGAGACAAAAACATGGGTCCCCAGGTCTTGCCGGGCTGAGGGACCACTAAAATGCCAAGTCTGTGATGATAAGAGGACGAAGTGCCATTCTGTGGCTGCAGGGATGGCTTTTGAGGTGTCTGTCCATGACCAGGGTGAGCAGGACTAAATGTAAAGTATTTTGATAAAGGACTGGCAATCTCCTCCCAAAGGTCTTCGGGTACAGCCTCAGGACAGTCATTCAGCACAGTCTCAACCACAGCACAGTTCTCAGAGCTGGACAGAGTGCAAGTTGAATAGACCACAACGCCCCCTGGACGCACTGCTGACAGTGCAGACCTGGAAAGTGTAGACAAATAATGCACTTCATGACAAGGGACATTAAAAGAGAGCTCCATCAATTTTGCACATCACAGTCTGTTTACAGGTCTCTGGGATTTCTGTTGCATATGTGAAAAAAGCTGTATAAAGCCCTTTGTGGCTCCAGAGGGAGCTGTGTGAAGGGTGATAAATTGCCTCAAGTGATGTCACTTGAGTCAGTGTTGGTAGGGGATGAAGACTACAAGTTTGACACTGACATAAACTTCTCTGTGAGGGGTTAGAAAGATCTCTGTAGCCTGGTCATTATCTCTGCTGAGACCAGCGGCTAGAGGCTACTTTATCTGCTACTAGCATAACACACCTGAATCTCTGACTAAACAGTCGAGTTGCATTGTGGGTAATGTAGGCAGCAGGTTAGAAGAATGAGTGGAAGAAAACAGATGATGTCTGGTTTTGTGTTCTTTTAACTCTGAGGAATCTAAATGAGCATTTCACATACTCTACAAAGCTGGACAATATTAAAGGGACAGTTCACCCCCAAATGAAAAATACATATTTTTCCTCTTACCTCTCGTGCTATTTATCAATCTAGATTGTTGGCTATATCAGCCATAGAGATGTCTGCCTTCTCTCTAGTGTGATAAACTAGATAGCACTCTGCTTGTGGTGCTCAAAGTGCCCAAAAAAACAGTCTGAAACACTCACACAACAGCAACGTCATTCTCAGTTAATTAAGATAATCCACAGACCTTGATATGAGCAGTTTCATGCAGAAACAATGTTCACTCTACCAAACTACACCCAACAACCGTATCACCACGGAGAAGGAAGTGGGCACGACAAGGTCTGTTGATTATCTTGAGTAACCGGGTCACGATTTGTGGAAAGAGACACTGCTGTTGAGTTTTTCAAATGTATTGTTTTGGCACTTGGAGCACCAAAAGTTGAGTGCCATCTAGTTACATTACAATTGAGAGAAGGCAGACACCTCGACCGCTAATATTGCCAACACTCGATGACTCACGCTAAAATGGTTTAGACTGATAAATAGCACTATGGGTAAGAGGAAAACTATTTATTTTGGATTTAGGGGTGAACTGTCCCTTTAATTTGCACACAAATTGTCACCACTAATATACAATATATACCTGTTAAGCATCTCCTCCCTCAACACAGGGAATAATTTTACTATCTTTAGACTGGTACTGACCACATACAGTATGATACCGCCTCCATTAACTAGTTGTTTTTATTTGCTTTGAAATTCACGTTAACGAGCTGAATTGTTCTATAGTGTTGACATTATTCTATGTATAACTGTACAGCACAGGGGAATGTTCCATTACCAGTTTGGCCAACATATAAAAAACATTCAGGAAGACAGGAGAGGTCTACAAGGGCAACACATAGCAGACAGTCTTCTATGTTGGGGATTGGACTTACCTAAGCAGCTGAGCCTGGAGTGCAGGCAGCCTGGCTCTTTCCTTTAGTCTCTGTTCCCCCTGCTGGCTGCTGCAAGAATACAACCAGCTCCTGTCATTAGAACATGGAGCATCGACTAAAACCTGCAACAGAGGGAGCGAGGGAAGGGAGTAGTTCAGAGTCTGAGTCAAAGAGTTCAAGCATGGAATGGCACTGAGAGACAGGAGGGGTCAAAGATAAAAAGCAAAAGGGAAAGAGTAGGAAAATGTTAATAGTTAATGACTGAAAAAGCAGACAATAGGGCAACTGCTGCAGGTCTGAGAAGTAATCAAAGTAAGTGTTATATTTTCCCTACACATAAGCCCTGAAACTTTACACCTTAGATGAGAATCTTCCCACAAATCTGTGCAGTCCGTTTGTGCTACTCTAATGCCTTTTAGCCTTTGTTCACACCTCTGTCTTAAGGGCTGTCCACACCAAGAACCAAGAGGACTATTACGCTAACTTAAGATAAGGATGTGAGCATCAGCACTGATGATGTAAACAGTGGCGCCAAGCACTCGCTGCAAGCTCCAGCTGTGTCAGCAGCTTAAGAAAATGGATACGGTTTCTATCGTTCACCAAATTGCTCACAGTCGTCGTTATAGTTGTTGTGGACTTTCCCATCATCTTGAGTTAGAACCATGTTTACAACGATATACTGTATTTATATTTAATGTTATGGTTAACAGCCCTTTACTCTCAACCTTTTCATTTTGTACTTTTCTTTTTTTTTATATTTTGGTCCATTATCAGCCACTTTGAGTCCTTTGAAACCTCCCAGCCATTTGTCTGCCTATCCTTGGCTCCAGTTTTGTATAAATGGTTTTCTTCTCTTCCGCTGGGCTTATTAGCTTCTGTTCAAAGGCTTGTTGTTCTCATTCAGTTCCAACCATGGCCTTGAAAGCCCTCAATTTGTTGGACACTGAAGCAAAATTTCAGTCACATGCTGCCATAAACACGACTCTCCTCACCTTGTCATATGTTCCTGCTTCACTCTGCCCAAATGACCGTCCATCCTGTGCAGACACAATCACTCTGCTGATTAGTGAGCGAGGCAGAAAAGACTCCAGGGTTTTGGCCAGCCAGTCCCGTCTGTGCGGGTCTGGTTCATTACAGCAGAGGAGTGCTGGAACACAACACAGGGCAGCATTACATATTATTAGTATTCAATGCAAATAGGCTTTTCACAGCTGACAAAAATATTCCTTTCATTCAACTGCAACAACTCACATGCAAAACACATGATGGTTATTTAAAAGGATAGTTCAGATTTTTGAAGAGGGGTTGTACGAGTGGTTTATTTCATAGTCAGTGTATTATTACCTACTGGAGATGACAGTAAGTGTGCCCACAGTTTGGAGAGGCAGACGGGAGTACCGTTATTTGTGTTAATGTGTAACTTTGGTGAATCAGAACTTACCTTTTAAACCACCAAAGTCACACAATAGCACAAACTAAGTGATTGAGGCAGTGGTAGACCAGCAACTCCTGCATCCAGCGAGGTCAGATTACTATTTTTGTCAGCGGATCCTGGCTTTTAAAAGAGCATGAATAAGTTTGACTTTCAATTCAATTCCCCATCAAAAAGAGCTGTCAGAGAGGGAGATAAAGCTGTGTCTTTAAGTGTACACTTAAACTCATATTGACTTTTTTTTAGGTGGGTGAAGCACATTTTCCTGTTTTTTTTTTTTTGCTTCCTTGGTGGTACAACTACACTGCACAAAAAAATTGAACCTTCTCTTTAAAAACAAAATTCAACAAGATGTTTTTGTGAAAAGATCTTGCTACTAAACACCCCAATCTTAGAAGAAAAGAAATCTGCAGTTGTAACATAATGTAGACATGATTTGGTGCCTCTAATAAAGTATAAATATTTGCATTTATTTATTATATGAGTTGATAAATAAGATTATTATAAATACTAAAACCCAATATTTAACTCAACACAAAGTTATAACTTGATGTATACACTCGGCAGTGTAAAACGTAAGTTATACTACCCTCCTTTCATCCTCTACGACCTTGTTTTAAAACTGTACTAAAGCCCCTATTTTAAACATCTGCATTATAAAAGTAAAATCAAACAAAAGTTTTCAAAGTCCCTAAAAAAATACTTTTATTACCTGGGGTGGCACACTGCATTATGGCCAAGGCTTTGCCCCCAGGAGCAGCGCAAAGATCCAAAACCTTCTCCCCATCTCTGACTTGCAAAGCCAACACTGGAAGCAGGGAGGCAGCATTCAGGAGGTAGTACTGCTTCAGCTGGCCAGGCCTGTGAGCCTGAGAGGGAAACCGCAGCGGATATGGATGGATGTAACATTGCAATGTAGGACGGAGCAAACTGAGTGAAGGCTCTGATTGAAGGTCTTGACCGAGTGCATGAGAGGTGCTGTCAGGCTGCAGATGGGAGGCATTAGGAAGGCACTTGGAGATGTAGTCAGGTGGCAACAAAGAGTCTTTTCCTGCCTGGTGTTTAGAATTTGACGCTGTTGAGGGGCCATTACAAAGCGATGTTGAGGCATCTGTTTGCAGAAGCAATGTGGAAAAACCCTGGGATTGAAGAATCTGTGTGATGCCTGTCACAGCGCTGAAGCGGTTGAGCATAACACCATACTGCCAAGAGCGAGGGTCCAGAAGCACCGCTCTGCAAAAGAAAAGCAGGAAGTGTTCAAATGCTGTCCATGTGTACACTGTGATAATTATTTCAGAAAGTAATTTACCTCGCAGGTGCCCACAAGTCTCCAAGTTCCTGACTGTACTGCTGGTCAAAGAGGTCCAGTACTGGCTGACATGAAGATCTTTCTTTTCTGAGCCTTTTTGTTACCTGTTACAGATTTTAGTGAAAATGTTATCTAGAGACAAATCCTAAAGAAGCACAAAATTAGGGAGCATCCTTAAAGTAGACTCTGACAGTGCTTAATTTTTTACAGCTGAGTCCTATTCAAGTAAAAATCTTTTGGACCTAAATATCAACAATAAACATCAAGTGACCAAATCCCAAAAATATCTCCTGTTGAAATACTCTGTTAAAGTTTCCACATTTCAACTTCCATCTTAACAGTTTACTGACCAAAACCACTGTAAAATTAAGATATACATTCTAGTTTAAGGTGGATTTTTCCTTAAAGTTCCTGAACTCAGGCTGAAAAAACTGCTGTCCCTTGTCTTGTACACTAGCTACCCCTGGTGGATAATGAATGTAAAATCTGTTCTGTCAGAAATGACAAGTACATGCAGTTATAGAGTTTAAATGGCTACATGACATGTACACGAGAGCTCCATAAGTCATACAAGATTAAGTAATTGATTGCAATTGGGCCAAATGAAAGGCAGTCAGCCGTAGTTTTTAATATATTACAGTATTCCCCTTTTTTGTTAGTTTCATCTCCATTTCTTATTGCTGGCTATAAAAATAAATTGTTGCAGTCCTGATCTGTCCTAGATTTTTTCAAAATCGGGAACATAAGTCTACGTTTTAGAGGAGGCCATATCTGGCCAGTGACAGTCTGCCTAGAACCTATAAAAAACTGTGTTCTTCTTCTCCCACTCTGCATCGTTTCTCTTCTTATGGATTATTTCATCTTTGTTTTTTTGTTTTGTTGTTCTTGATCTCTGTAAAGCATCTTTGGGTATCCAGAAAAACCCTATATTCATCCAGTGTTTTATCATCATTATTACTATTATTGTTGTTATTATTATCATATGGTGTTAATAAGATTACACTACCTCAGTGGCTTACTGTGTGTTGCAGTGGCAGCTCGATATTTCTACGATGAAAAGTAACAAGACCTCTTCTGTTATCAGTACAATGATGCTAATATTAAAATTATGTTCTTTCTTTATCAGGCGATTTTTTACGTTATTGTTCATACTATTTAGAATATTATACACAAGCCCATACTGTAACTGAACAGTCGCCTCTACTGTGACTCTGTGTTGGATGAAGAATGTTAGGTTTTTAAAATGGATCAGATGTTTGATGAAATCTAGGTGCGAGGTTGTCACAAGCAGCAGATGTCCGTTTACACAACACTACACATTCCCACTCTGCAAACAAGAAGACAAAATAGAGTTGGAGCACTTCCTTGTTGCTGAAAGGCATATGCCCAGTACTGTGCATGGCTTAGCTGTATGTTGTCCAAATACATCTCTATCGGTTCTGTAAAAACATTTTGAATCAACAATATTTGAGAGTATATCTACTCTCCTACAGTACCGTGCTCAATATCCTCTTAATATAACACAGTAAGGAGACTTTTCAGGCAGTATGTTCTCAGCAACGTTTTTGCTTTTGCAATATGTTGAAATCACCCATCTGCAGCTTATATACAGCTTATAGCCAACTGATGTTGTATTCTTTGAGACCTATATCCTCAAAATTGCAGGCAAGACAGTTTTTTTTACTTTAATGGCCAAACAGATTTTTACTGTTTACTATTTTATTATTAACTGTGAAGATAGCCCCCATCAATCTCTTACAGTGTTAGTTTATATCAAGAGACACTCGTTCAAACACAAGGCTAGACTAGTCCATAGGACATAGGACCCTGGGAACATAGGTATGACCTATAATTTACAGCATACCTGAATTACCCCAGGTTACACAAACTACTCCATCTAGTGGGCAAATAAGCGAGCTGCTGCTTCTTCTCCTGACGAACAAAAGTGGCCAAACTTTTATGAACTACTATGGGTTTTTCAGACAATATTCAGGCCAAACAGTCCTTACAAAACATGAGCAGAGACAGTAAAAACAAGGTGTTGAAACGTGGAGGACAGGCTATTAAACTAGCTTGACGTCAGATGCAAAATGTAATTTGACAGGAGCTGTGACAGAGCATGGCTGCTAATAAAGCCAGCATTCAAAACCAGACAATGAGACAATATAACTACAAGCAATACTCCCTCCTAAAGAAACCCCTCGTGTTTATTTACCTGGTTATTGGAGGCTCCTTTTTTCTCCTTCAGCTGTGAGACAACCTCAGGACCCGTGTGACAGGTAACAGACCACAAACACCACAGAGGTGTCACCGTTGGGTTTTCAGTGTTCAAGATAATTCGCCTCCCCGCTGTGCAAATACGATGTATTGAGATTATGTATTTAGACATCCGCTTATCTATATTTACAGTCTAAGAGACGGAATATATTTTAACAATTGTTTGGATTTCTTTCATTAACAACGGGTACATGTCCGTTACTTAAATCCGTCCCTCTTCAACTCAGACGCTCTGTCTTTCGTTCCACTTGACAACGGCTGATTTTTTTTTCCTTGGCAGCGTCTTGGGTCATAATTTTGGCGGTTACTGGTTCGTGTATAAAACCAAAAAAAAACAAAAAAAAAACACAAAACCATTGACTTTAAAAAGTGCTGGCAAAATTATTTCAAGCAGGTAACGGACACAAATCACGAAAATTGAAGATACAGCCCGCGGTCTGCTGGTCAACAGGTGACAACTGTGGGGAACGCTAACGTTACACTGCTAAGGTCACACAGGAAGCCGTTGATAATTTTAATTTAGCTAACATTAGCTAGCTAGCCAGAATTTAATGGTCAGATTAACTACATTTTGACAAATATGTTGGATCTAACGTTACTTAAGCTTTCAATAGTGATAGAGCCCACTGCTTCAACTAACCATTATGTTAGTTATCAATTAATCTGTAGATTCATTTCTCGTTTGGTATATAAAACATTAGAAAACAGTGACAAAGGCTCTCTTTTAATATCCTAGAGTATAAAGTGAGCTCACCAGATGTGTTTTGTTCAACCAACATTTGCAAATCCAAAAATGTTAAATTTAAGTGAAAACTGAGACAAGCAGCAAGTTTTCACCATGGGTGGATTGAGACACCGGGCCTCTGGGCATCTATGAAAAGCCCCCACCAGCTCTCATACATAGGAGCAAGACATAGCCTATGCTTTATGGTGGTTTTGCCTCCTTTTTAATAATAATAATGATAATGATAATGATAATAATACTAATAATAATTGTAATACATTTTATTTATATAGCGCTTTTACAGCTCTCAAAGATGCTTTACATTTAAACAAAGACAAGAAGTACATACATGTACATTTTTGTCTGTTGTACATTTCTTTGTAGACATTTTGTCTATTTGTGGTTGTTTTGCCCCTTTTCGTGGTTATATAGTGTTTTTTTGCAGCTCTTTCTGGTCAGTTTTTAGTCTCTTCTTGGTCAGTATGTGTTAAGCTGAGTGACATTTTGCAGGTGAAAGCCAGGGGGACGCCTGACACTTTGGGCCCCTGGCCTGTGCCCGGTAGGCCTGTTCAGTTATCCATTCATGATCCTCACATTTGAGAACCTGGAAATGTCACATTTGGGCATTTTTGCCTAAAAAAAAAATAAGTAAAACTATTGAATATGAAAATAGATGACTATTCATTTTCTGTCAATCTGATAACTATTTGTCTCATCATTGCAGGTCTAATAGAGACAGACCACGTGTGATTTTAACGTTTGAGCTGTGTTGTAAATTAACTGGGACTGTTGAGGTACAAAATATTCTGTGAAGCTGCATCACAGCCAGTATTTAAAATTTTGTGTAGATCAGTGGTTCCCAGCTGGTCCAGCCACACGGTCCATATTTCTCCTTTGTCATTAGTTCAAGGTCTACACAGTTTGATATATTCAGTGATATACTTGTGTTTGGCCATGTCATCCAGCTAGTGTGCTGTCTCTGTGAAGTAGCTGTCCATTAGTCACTCACTCTACAGCAAGAAACAGCACTTCAAGATAAAAGCCCTGTGATCAGAAATTCACTGTACATCAAAATAAAGTGTGTTTTCTACAAACTTGACATTCAGAATGGACTCGCGACCCACTTTTGGACCATGACCCACCAGTTGGGAAACACTGGTGTAGATAACTGTTAGCCTTACCATTTTGTCAGGAGAAACACAATACTACTTTGAATCTAAATCAACATACAAAAAAAAAGTCCCACTACCATTTACAAATGCACAAACACACATTATGAATTAAACAGTTTACTTCTGTTATTGGTTGCATGTTTAACAAAAACATTTGATTAAATATACAATATGGCAAAAACCACCATTTAAAATGATTTGGGTTTGCCAGAGTTCCTTACACAGTTGGTTTACAATCTTTTAAGAAACACCAGTGAACAAGAATGGGCAGCACGACAAGCTGACATCATCGTACCATTCAAGGGCATCTCAGACTGCTAAATCTTGTTAACATTGTGATGTATCCCTTTGCAGCAAGAGCCTAACTGGTTTACATGGCAAACAGAATAAGGAATGCAACCATCAGACAGAAGAGACCCATAGCTTCAGACAGAGCGAAGCCCAGGATGGCGTACGAGAACAGCTGCTGCTTCAGAGAGGGGTTCCTGTTGGGAAAGAGAGAGGCAGTTGAGACCAACAGGAGGTACAAAGTGTTGAAAGTACAACTACCATGATGTTTCAGTGAGCAGACATCCCCTGTGTTCCCCAAGAAGGATTTAGCATGTGACAAAATAATTCCATCAATAACTGAAAGGCACTGAGGCAGCACAAAGCCATGACAATGTTGAATAATTATGTTGACCTTAAAAATTCACTTAAGAGACTCCATTCCTTTCATTTAAAATGTTAATTAAATTCATTTTTGACCATGGAAACATTTGGATTCAAGTATTCCCATGTTAGTATCATAGTTATTACCATTACTATTAAAAAAAACAACCCTCTAATTGGCAGAAATCCCAGATGTGAAGAACAACTTAAAGCTCATTATTTTTTTTTTGGCCAAAACTATATCTGTCCAACTAATTAAACAGAAATTAATTGATAATTTTTTTCTATGACAGCGCTCACAGATGCATGAACATTCCCTCCTTGGTGGAGACGTCCTAGAATGACAGATGTGTTTAATTTACCTGGCATATCCGATAATAAGGCTACCGAACACTGTTCCAATTCCAGCTCCAGATCCGGCCACTCCCACGGTGGCAGCTCCTGCTCCAATGAACTTTGCGGCAGTGTCAACATCACGGCTCACAGCACTGGTCTGGAACCCCCGCACCGCCACCTGCTGCTGGGAGGCTACAATACTCTGTGGTGCCAGGAGTGAGGCAGTCTGAAACACAAAAATAATGAGGTTAGTACAAAACAAAGTCAAAGTCAAAGCATACAGTCAATTTACAGGCTCCTCTTTGCACAAAGTAACCTTAAAATATCAGCAGAGTTTGTTCTGGTGTTGCTGCTCATTGTCAGTCTGTTTTGATACCTCACTAGCTGCTGAGGTTTTACCTTCAAACTTGCATCTCTGATCTGCTACAGCCATACTTTGACCCTGAATCTGTCTCTACTCTGTACCTGATTAAGGTTCTCCAAAAACTCAAGTGAACTTTGTGCCGCTTTAGAAAGGTGAATAAACTGGTATTGTATTTGTACAATAGTTGCAACCCACGTGCAGCTAATTTTAGACAAATAGACAGACTAGCTAGATTTTATCATTGATGCAAATGCCAGCAATGCTTTTGCTGACAACAAAACATCTAATGGTCCTCCTCAACAGGAAACTGGGCATGTTGCAATAAGCTTCTAATCCTATCACCTCAACGGTCTGTTTGTTGGCATCATTTTTTTTTTCCCTTTAGCAACTTTGTTGGGTAGCTCCATTAAGCAGTGTTATCATATGCAGTTTGGGCCTCACGTCTTAAGTACTGCATTAGGGTACGTGAGTAAGGTTAAAAATACAGAAAGTATAAATCAAATTCCAATTTTAATGGACTTAAAATATGTTGAGAATTTTCACAAACACTTACCACTATGCTGCTGAATTACCTTCCTTTAAAATGTAAAGTGTTCTTTATTTGTCACTCCTTGTATGTGAGATACAAGGTAATGGGAATAGCAAAGTAGATTAATGGAGCTTTGATAGCTTCAGAGTGCCACTCCTCTGTGAACACTCAAAGTCAATGAATCAGTTATAATTCCCAGTAGAGACAGCTGCCTACCTCTGATTTCCTGGCATCTGAGACTACTGCTGCTGAGAGTGGTCTGTACAGCGCCCGAGATCCAGCACGGACCTGTATCAAGACAAAACAAGAAGACACATTTAGTTGAGACAGTCATGTTTTACTGACACATGTCTGTATAGTTTAAAATTAGCTAAGTATACATCTACTCTGCTAAAGACAGCTTTAAAAGCATGTGGATTCATCTACAATGATACTTGGCTTTTAGCAAATATGGCCACAGGTGGAAGAAGTATCAAAATCATTTCTTAAATAAAATTAATAGTACTACAACACAAAAATAATACATTACATTACTTAAATACAGGAGTATTAGCAACAAAGTGTACTCAAAGTATCAAAAGTGAAAGTACTTATAATGCAGAGTGGCTACTGTCAGTCTTAGATAACTGTTTTATTGGATCATTATGTAGTCTTATGTAAACAGTACTTTCATTTTGTTGTTGGTCAAGGCTGAGTTGATTTTAACTATTTCATATAAATTTTGGTAGTTTATTCTGTAATAATAGATCATAATTTTTTAAAGTGATCATGTTTTTTGTGAGTGAAATCTTCATTTGAACAGTAGTTATAGCTCTTAAATAACAGCAGTGACATAAAAAATGCAATATTTCTCTCTGAAATATAGTAAAGTTAAAGTTTAAAGTAGCAAAGGTTGGATGAAGTCATTGTTTTGCAAATTACTAGCAAGTCTCAAGTCTTTGCATTCAAGTCCCAAGTCAAGACAGACAAGTTCTGAATCAAGTTTCAAGTCCTAAACAAGTAATAATGCACTATTCACCAAATGCACTTCTGTTTTAACAACAGAGTAATAATATATGAAATTAACAAAAATCATGACTGCTTTTTTAAGTTGTATTTGTTTGTTTAAACAAGTTCGTTGAGGGTCTGTAATTTTTGACCCGCAGGTTTTGCATACCGCAATTCGTTTTTTGTTGACCACCACATCGTTTTTGTACATGAACAAAACTATCTTCCATATAATTTTTTTTCAACTGGCGCCAGGTAACATAACATTAGTTCTTCATGGTTCTCTCTCGCTACTTGACTGGATAGTCTTGGATTGGTTAGTGTCAGCTTGCTGGGAATGAACAGCGTCAACTTTAGCTGCTTCAGGAAATAACTAGTGGCACACTTTTTAAATAACAAACTTCTTAATGTTTGGGCTTAGGAAAAGGTGTCAGATATTTTCAAGTCAAACGCTCAAGTCCAAGTAAAGTCACTTGTCATTGGGGTGTAAGTCCAAGTCAGGTTGAATCTAAAGTCATCAAATTTGTGACTGAAGTCTGACTTTAGTTCAAGTCGTGACTCGAGTCCCCACGTCTGAAATGAAAAAAAAAATTCAAGTACAAGCATTTTACAAGTGTACTTTAGTATTGTTGTAAATGTACTTAGTAACTTCCCACCACTGACTATGGTCAACTCTGGCTAAAATCCAGTTTACAACAACACCAACAGTGACCCATAATAGGGGTGTTTTGGATAAATTCTGCTCAAACCCCTTCGTTATGAGCTTGAATATGGCTGCTTCTCAATCGTATCCTTTAATTTAGGTGACACTGATCCATATTAGCTTTAAAAAGGTGGATAAGCTGTATCACAGTGGGATACTATGGACAGGCTGAGCTCTGTCTTGACAGTGTCCAAAACAAGGACGTCCTTGCAGGTGAACACTAGCTGACTTTAGCAGAGGGTCAAACACGGCTACATAGCTAAGTGCTAATGTTAACAAGCTACATTAAACCTGCTGGTTGTCTGCCCTTAAAACAGACTGACAGCTTTTACACGCTGTCATGATAAAGCACTGGCAGTATACGTGTATGTGGTATCTCCATTCATTGAAGCAGACTCACCAGAGAGGGTGTGGAGACGAACTTAGCACAGGCGTACATTATGACGGGACTTAGTGGTCAGGTCAACCGAAGGAGCTGGCGTTAATACAGTGGCTGCTGTCTGTGAAAAGCAATGCATAGAAAACAGCAATGAGCAGATACAGTTACATGACACTGCAACTGGTAAGCTACCCAAGAAAGTACAAAGTGTGCAAAGTTACGTGGACGCACACAAGTAAGGTCAAGATTAGCTGCAGCCCGAACAATGTCGCCAAAAACAAGCTAGTAATAAAATAAGATGAGCTGAGCAGGTCTGCGGATAACAGAGCTACAAAGATACACAGGTACACACAAGTGTCACGTTTAAATATTTAACTCACACACAGTTTGTAACAGAGGAGGTTAGCTCTCACCGGTTTGAGTAGAGGTCGAAGACACGAGAAACACGCGCATGCGCAGTAACAAGTTATAGGGTTGATTTCCGGTTTCCTGATGTGGGAGCTACTCAAGGCAAGTTAATGGCTACTGTCCAGTCCGGATGGGCCTTTATGATAATACAGCGTGTTTAAATGTGTTTCCAATAACGTTAACCAGGACAGTCCAGCACACAGACTCTCTGGCACTGCCTGCAAAGGGAATATATTTTTCACCTGCACATATACACAGACATCTACCTGTTGTCTACTACCCCCTAGAGACCATTTGAACAAATTTGAACAAATTATAATACTGTACACATTCAGTGAATCCAGTGTACTACCACTAAACATTAAAGCCTGCAAAATGACTCAAATTCTGTATTAACAAGTTTGTCAAAGTCCATGCAAAAATATAGAGGTAATTTACTGTATATTGTTATGTTTGTCATGCAGAAAGGGCCAGTAACTAGTTGGGAATATTTAATTAAACATGGATGAAATAATAGTTTTTTTAATGACAAAATGTTAACAACTTTTATAAGTGTGCAATCTATATAGAGGCTGATATATAGGCCAATAGCAGACAATAAGAAACAAGAAATTACAGTAGCTTACAGAGATGCCAAACTGTGTTTGAGGTCATATAGAAACAGTGTTTGCTTTACATACCCACTTTTTCCAGCAGAGAGCACTGTTGGTGTTTCAACTGTAAAATGTAGATCTTCTTTCTATGTTTTCTGTTGAAAAAACGACACAAAAAACATTGGCCAATGCAGTGTCATCAGATTTTTTGTACTTCCAAATGTCAATACAAGTAAAGGTCTCAAAAATCCAATATTGGTTGGACTAAAATGTCTATTTATTTCATTGTATTTATCATGGCCATTAGGTGGTGACATAGTCTGACTTTTAAGAATAAACTAGCAGCAGATGGAGTCCTATTTAGCTGAATATGGTATAGCTCTCACATCCATGTAATTTTGAGTAAGATGTGTTATATTTAACTGCCACTTACACATTCTTTTTTTTTTTTGTACAAATGAACAAAAGATGACAATGGCATGGGGGGGGGGGGGGGGGGGCAGTCCTTCCACTATCTCTGATGCTGCACTTTGGGAATAAGCACATCAAAAGTAGCCCACATTAGCAGTGATCGGTGGACTGCAACCACACTGACTGAACAGGCCCTTAAGATATCAGGGAGTCTAACAGGTCCTTAAAGTCTTAAAATGTCTTAAATTCAAAATGTAGATTGGCTTAACTCACTATAATAACCATATTCCCACATTAGACCTACCTCTGCACAAGACCACAGATATACTACTTTCCTGCAGTGCTTATGATTTGTACAAAAAAACTGTCCTAAATTCAGTTAAAAGGTGTTTTGAACAGGTCTTAAAAAGCATTAAATTTAACTGTCTGATATCTGTAGACACGCTGGATATGTATATTCTTTGAGTCCTGACATGTTACCTTGGCAAGTATGTTTTACACAAAAATGTCTGATCCCTGGGGAAATCAAGTGACATTTGACTGAAATCTGATCCAACATTTGCCTCAAAGTGTGCGGTCACAATTCTCACATACTGTGTGTACGTATTTCTGCAAGATGTCACCTTGAATATTTTATAAAACCACTCAGTGAGAGCACATGTCCAGACAATCCTTAAATTTGCTTTTTTATGTGGATGCAGATCTTAAACAATATGTGGACTCCGGGAAGAACAGTATGTGGAAGCTAAATAAAAATACACACAGTCAGAGATAATCATGGGATACGTATGTTTATTTTGATTAAATTCAATAAAATCCAAGAAATGCTTGTATCTTAAAGTCAATGTGTAATGTAATATCTCAAAAGGGGCTTTTGAGACAAATTAAATGTGCAAAGTAGATTACGAAATAAATGCTATAACATCAATAGTATTAATACATATACCCATCACGGTTATTTGTGTGTTTGTTCATTATTATATATATTTAAATATTTTCACATCTATTTACTTTATCTATTCTTATTTCCCAATAGGGACAAAGACAGTCATTTGTAATGTAATATCTATCGCCACAAGGGGGCAGCAACACACCGTGCAGAGTCTATGATACAAACTGGAAAACAAATTCATTATGTGCGAGAAAATCTATGTAAAATAGGCTGGATGCAATATGAAACACAAAAACGCATGCAGATGTAAAATATAAAAAACTGACCTGAAGTCATTTAATATCGATCAGGACAGAGATCTGCCTCTGTTATATTATGTTACAGCTTTGATATTTTAAATAGAAAGCGTTTTGCATTATTCAAAAGGAATGGATCAATAAAACCAGATATTATTAGTATGTTTCAGGCCTGTCAGCTGTGAAGATTTACAACTTCAGATGCGAGGACCTATGGTTTTGTGGCTGCAGCCTACATTTTTCAGACAGCAAGGTGGTGGGTGGAAAGATGGGGATGAATGATAGATGCGTGCCACCGTGTGTGGAATTTTTATGTTGTTTTCACGGCCAAAATTAAATATACCATTTTCTGTTTATGCACCAAACTGAATTCATATGTGATGGTAACCTAGGTCTGTTCAAGTCTGCAGCATCAGTGCCAAATATTTCTCATGTATAACCCCTATGCATTTATAAAATGTGCAACCCCCTCATATTAAAATGAAAATGGGTATTGTAGCCTATGATTGTGGCAGTGACCTCCACCTTGCAGCGACCACGAGGCTCTGAAACTGATTTTAAGGAAGGCAAACGATCATATTTCTATCAAAGCCTTCGTCTGGTTTATGCATTGCGCCCTATTGCTCATTAACATCTTGCATCATGTGGATATCCTTTCACCTTGTCTAAATTTATCCCCTAAATTGCTATTAAATATTTATATCACTCTAGCTTTAAGTGGGCTTTCCCTCTTCAAGGATTCATCTCTGGCCGCCCCCTCAGAGGTAAGCTCTCCATTTGGCGAAGCGGAAGGGAGATTCCTCAGCTCTTCCAGTCATACACCCCCTCCTCTGTATGATGGCACCGTTACGCACCACTATAATAAGAGAGAGACGTGATTTTCTGGGGCGAATCCCTGCCGACGTCACTCCCAGTCCTATATAAATATCCTGACTCTGATCAGACTCCAGCAAAACCGCTTTTCGGCTACAGCAACTCTACAACAACCAAGGATTATTGGATTGCCTTCGTTGGATTTAATTGCCAGCGCCGAGTAAGTGTCTTTAATATCAGCAGCTTTAGTTTTATTTTGCGCTTAATGTTGAGTGGAGTTGGAAAAAACATGGACTAGCCAGGTTGACATTTTTAGGAAGAAAAGGTTTCATGTTTGCTCCAAGCTACTCATGCAGCCAGATGTTTTAATTTTACAGCACGACTTATAATGATAAACATTTGTGTAAATACTGGCATTATTCTACAGACTTTGCGCCTGTTCTTTACGCATGTTTATGTGTGATTTGACATCAGAGCACAGATTTACGCATGTCACATCTATCCACAGACTCCTCGGTATAAGCACAATGACTTTGAACAAGGGTGACAAATTGCGGAACATGGACAAGAGAAGAGGAAGCATGCCGTTTCCCATGAATCTACCAAACCTACACCGGAGAAGCATGCCCGTGGACGACCGGGACCTGCGCGCCACGATGCCACAGACCGGGCAAACCGACGAGCTGTCCAACCTCCTGCGCTGCACGTCCTACTCCCCGAACGAGCAGCACCGGGGCAGCTGCGCGTCCGACTCCTCCGACTCCGTCATCTCCACCGGCAGCGAGACCGAGTCCCAGGTGTACAAGGTGGTTCTCCTCGGGGAACACGGCGTCGGCAAGTCCAGCCTGGCGCGCGTCTTTGGAGGAGTTGAGGATGCTGGTCACGACTTCGATGAAGCAGGTAAATGGTGATGCTGAGGATGAGTCATCAACCCTAGCAACACACACTCACACACACACACTCACAGACACACTCCAGATGTCTATTGTCTGTGAACATACATGTTATAATTAGGCCTGTCAGAGGGTAATTAGCTCTTCAAAACACTGGACAATACACAGGGCAATTATATTACAATTTATGCCTGGAGATTCAGTTTTAAGATATAAAGCATCAAAACTTTGGAGGCCACTTTTTAAATTATCCTAACCTTTAAAAGAAACCAACACTCAAGCATGAAGATGTGGAATTTTCCTTTAAATATACATAAAAACCTTCTCTCAAATTCAGAATTGTGTATGAAGACAGTCATTAAGTTTTGCTGATAGACTAGGGGAAAAAAACAGTGATCTTATTTTTGCACGCAAGAGTGTGCATGCATTGATTATTGCTATTTCCATCTGCAGCGAGGCACCAGCCCTGCCCTCAGTAATACAGCTGTCAGAAACACATCTAATAGCATAATGTGAAGGGAAAACACAAAAGGCCAGTGATGGCTTGATCGCAGGCTGTGATCAACATTCTGCTTCAATGTGTAGACTACAAAAGGAAAAAAAATTAGTGCTAAAATCAATGTGAAGAAAAGCAGTAACACACGACTGTTCAGATAGGAGACACTCTGCTCCTTTCTCTCAGTGTGTAACATTATATTTCTTTTTCCTCTCCCTCAGGAAACACATATGACAGATCTATCGTGGTGGATGAAGAAGAGTCATCCATCGTGTTGTATGACATCTGGGAGCAGGTGAGATATACATCATTTGTGCTATGTTTTCTCCATTTATACTGATTAATGGAGAGGAAAATATGGTATCAAACATGTAATGCTGAACTCGCTATCTGTTTCTTTCCTGAAGGATAACAGCCAGTGGCTGAAGGATCAGTGCATGAGGATGGGAGACGCCTACATCATCGTGTATTCAGTGACAGACAAATCAAGCTTCGAGAAGGCGTCAGAGCTGCGTATTCAGCTGCGCCGCGCCAGGCAGTCAGAGAATATTCC